TATTGTCTCATATTGTCCTAATTCAAATTGTCCACAATTTTTATTGCTCTAATTAAATTGCTATTTTTATAACCATTTTATTAAACTTTAAAAAATTTTACAAACAAGTGCAGGGCATTCCTCTGCAGCTCCCTGGGCAGGGCGGGCACCCAGAGCAGCCCCGGGGATTTTTCCTGCCATCGATTGACCCACATGGGGCTCATTTGCATGGAGGCTGCTGTGCAGCTCATTAGCGCTGCCCTAATGAGGCCCCTGCAGCAGAGCCTCCTGGGCTCTGTGGAGCATCCCCAGCCCGATTTGCTGAAGCAAACAAACTCCACAATTTGTGAAAGCTGTAAAGCTGCTGTATTTATTACAGCGCTGGACACATGTGGGAATTGTTCCCTAAAATGACATGGGCACCTCTGGGAACTCCAGATCCTTTTTTATCTCCCTCTCAAATACATCTGCATGCAATTTCACAGTAGGTTCATAGATATTCATTCTACTGACTTTGTGTGATACTTGCCACTAGTTCTTCTTTATCAGAAAGAATTCCTGGGTCAGGCTGCCCTCTCTCTGTAACAATCTCTCTGTCTGCTCCCCCTTATCTCTGTCCTTTGGCTGAAGCAGTTTCTCCCAGCATAAGCTTTTTATGAGGACAGGAGTCAGACTAAACAGCTGTTTGCAAGCTACAGACTTAGCTCAAAGATGTACATTTCACCTAAATCAAAATGGATTTTTACTCTGGATAATTTCTGCTCTGTCTGACCCCAGCCTGGCCGGTGCCCCCCTGTCCCAAGGGCAGCTCCCAGACCCAGCAGGGCAGGAAGGAATGGCCAGAGCCAGCACATCCCTCCTGCAGGAGCAGGGCTGCCCAAGGAGCTCTGACACTGTGTGACAATCCCAGCAGTACCAGCAGTAAATGCTTTCCCTCTCAGAGAAAGGAGCTCCACTCCATCTTTTTCCATATTCCAGGAACTCAGTGCCAGCCAGTCCAACTGCAGCAGCTGGGGCAGGCCCTGTCCAGCTGCCAAAGCACGGCAGATAGAAACAGTGCTCCAAACAAAGGTGGTGTGTGTCTGAGAGACCCTGGAAAACCTCTCCCTCCTGGGAGCTGTTGGAAGCACAAATGGATTTCTATTGTGTTATTTCTGAAGAAAAATAAGGGTACAATAACAGCAAACACCAGAAAAACCTAATAAAACCTGAAAATACTGGAACTGGTGCACAGTGGACAGAGACAGGCAGGATTGCCACAGCAAAACACTGAGCAAAGAACAGAAATTCAACTTACCCTTAAACAGGAAAAGAGAATGCCCCAAGGAAGAATTGCTGGTTCAAAAAAAATTTAACCTTGAGCTAACTTCAGATTCCAAACCACAGCACTGCCAAGCTTCCTGCACCTTCCCACCTGCTCCCTTCCCCTTCAGCTTGCTTTTAGAGAGCAGGAACCTCCCTGGCTCCCACCTGACACCCCACAAACCCCACAAACCAGAGCTGCCATGGGGATGCACAGACCCAGCCCGGGCTGCAGAACCACCCGAGAGATTCCCAGAGCCAGGGTGGAACCAGGGGCACCAACCCACCCCAAAGGGGACACAGGTGCCCTGCCTGGTGCCCTGGCAGGGGGCAGGAGGGGTGGCACCAACAGGGAAGTCACCATTGCAGTAATAATGGCCCTGCATACACAGCTCAAACATTGGCCACATTTCTGCTGGACTGGGGCGTTCACCACACTTTTGGAATTCCCCATTCCCTCACAAGCCAGGCAATTGCTGAAAGGACACACCACACTCTGAAACACATTCTACATCAACAGAATGGGGGAGTGGCCCAAGCAACACCTCAGATGAGGTTGAGCAAAGCCTTCTATGTCTTTAATTTTTTAAATTTCTCGTCAATGTGAGAAATTAAACTCGCTTTCAAAACATTTAAAAGGTTTATTAAAACCTTATCAAAAATACAACAGAAGACTGAATGGAGAAAATATTACAGTGCCAGGAGCAGAGAATCTTTCCCAGCATGTGCTCACCCACACAATGGAGGTTTCACCTTTTAAGCCTTTAGCTCCTCTCAAAGTCCTGTCCATCAACTCCTCCTTTGCTCTCTAGTGCCGGAGATCACTGCCTTAAATCCTGACTGGAGCTCAGGTGCTGCCACAGTGACAAACTGACCCTCCCAAATGTCCCAAACCCAGGTTACCCCTGATAACAACTCAACGAGGGTAAAACACAACTATAAATCTACAAGACTTTTCTTAACACCTATACAGGATATTTGCCCTTTAATTGTGAGTCAGCCATGGCATTGCTCACCTGTCACACCAATAAAAAGGGTGCTGTGCCACACTGGGACAGGAGGGCAGCACATTCCTCATGCCTGGATTTGCAGGTGGATGGGACAAGCAGCAGCAATCAATGGTGCAGGACAAGGCAGAGGCCCCACACCAGGAAACTGTCCCTGAGACTGAAAACTCTGATTTGTCCAGCACCAGAGAGCCTGTGGAGCAGGGAGAAGGAATGAAGAGAAGTTTGGAGGTTGGATGATGTCTGTGATTGTAAGATATGTGTGTGCTCTATTTGCCATCTGTCAGAGCTGGGGCAGTTCTCTGCTGTCCATGGCCACTGAGTGTCCCTGCAGGGCTGATCCAATCCCAGCATCCCATGGGGAGATGCTCCGCCCAGGGGAGGAGCCAAGCATTCCTACCTGGATCCAATCTGAGCCTGGCNCTCTCCATCACCTCCCCTTCCACCCTGCAGAGCAGAAACCGCTGGAGCCCCCCCCCCCTCCATGTGAAAAACACGTTCAGTCTCCTGTGAAAATGTAAAAAGCTCAATAAAGGACAGTGGGAGAGCAGGAGCACAGAGCAAAGGTTATCACAGCCAGGTGCATCTTGGCACTGGGGCAGGAGCACCCTGTTACCTTCGGGTACCCCTGAAATACCTTGAATTACATCAGCCTGTTGCATATTCATAGCCCCTCATGCATAGTAAACCTTTCCCCAAACTAATTCATCTGTTCTGAGAATTGTTTAGCCTGGCTCCTCCTCAGTTCCACCTTTCTAGAGCATGGGCATTCCTTGGGTGTGGTTTTAGTCCATTCTCATCCCCTCCAGTTCTGGGCCCTGGCTCACACTGCCTTCAGAGGGTGAGTGCTGATGGTTGGCACATCTGTCCAGGTGTGCTCACCCTGTGTGCATTGGGTGTTACCCCATCCTAGCAGGCATTGGAACACAGCACACTGATATCAGCTATTGCACTGAGATAATGAAAAACAGAAATAAAAACTGTATCTTTATACCAAAGTTACTTTAACACTACACAGATACAATCCATTTTAATAGTTGCAAAAAGCCAATATTATAATGTGTATCTATAACACTCACCAGGCACAGGAGGGACAGGGGAGGTTCTGAAGGCCCTGGGCGAACCAGGAGCAGAAGCTGAGCCCAAACCCCGCTGCCTGCCCAGGCCCTCAGCTGGGAGATGCACACACAGGGGCTGCCCTTCCTGATGAGAGGAATGGCAGATTTGTCTTCACAAACAAGCTGTGGGTCTGCTGGGAGATAAAACTGCACTGAGAAATAAAAGAAACAATGGGAAGGATTCCACTGATTGATAAATGGAAAAAAGATATTTGCCTTCACAAATAAGCTTCAAGTTTGCTGATAAATGAAATTGGACATTGAAAGATGAAAGAAACTGTGAGGGAGAAAAATCCCTAAATTCCATAAGAATAAAAAATGAAAAGAGACGGTTATGCATTAGAGGGAAATCTCTGGTATCAGGCAATTTGGGAAGTCTGAGCCTCTCAAGTACCTCAGCCAGTGGGGTAAGAGAGAAATGTGGCTGGGAAATTGGGATAAAAAGGAGGCTGTGTCCTCCAAATATTGGAGAGACCCCAGGGGAATGCCCCATGGCATCTCCCTTTATTTGAATAATCTAAAAGGACTCCTCTGTCTCCTTTTTGGACATAAACCTCTGATGCTTGTGGATTAATTTTCATGGCTCTGAGCACCTCGGCCTGCAGAGGGACCCTTGTGGGTGCACACCTAAAGATGCTTTCACTGTTTTGGAAAATATACCAAGTTTAAATAGTTTTATTTTATAGCTTTAGTCAGTTTTGTTCACCCTTGGCACAGGGAAGGGAATTGAACTTTATTTTCAGGGGATTGGTCCAGCAAGGTCTGATGAGCTTCAAACTCAACAGACTGGGAGTGACACAGAGGGTACACAAAAGATAATGACCATTAACAGCCATTAATGACCATCAACACCAAACATCACCCCTGGCTTGGTCAGAGAGACCTGGTCTGGGAAAAGAGGGATAAAAATGAGAACCTAATTAACATTGAAAGTGAAGAGATTGATAAGAAATAGGAAACCGAACACTGAGAACTGAACAACGTAGGACCAATGAACATGGAACCAATGAATTTCTATGGGTTGTGACAGTGTATGTAAAAATTCTGGTAAAATTTATATGTGATGGGATGATTTTCTCTGCACACCTGGGCAATGTGTGGCTGCCATGATTTCTGTTGCACATCCTGGCCATCATGAAGTAATGCCTTGATTCTCTTACACTGAAAATGTTGGAGAGATTTTGGTTTTCCTGCACCTTTGGTGACAACCGGGTGGTGACCATGGGGGGAAGAAATGGTTTATTGCTGATGCACGACAAAACCTTCCATCTCCTTCCATCTCCTTCCATCTCCTTCCATCTCCTTCCATCTCCTTCCATCTCCTTCCATCTCCTCCCACTCCTCAGGTGTGGGCAGGCTGATGGTTGAGCCTCACTAGAGCTGGGTGAGGACCCCAGCCACAATCAGAGGAGTTGTCTCATCCTTTGAAGCAGCAATAAATGTTTTGCCACTGAAGAAGAAAAGGGAGAGGAAGGAAAAATAATGTAAATCAAAGGTGGCTTTTCCCTTGGGAGTTTAAAAGAATCTTTGCAGGGAACAGTGGATAATAAGGAAGGTGGAACATCTTTTGCTAATGCAGGAGAGCTCTTGACCTCCCCGGTTCTGCTGAGGAATGAAACGAGTGAGAGCCCCGGAGGAACATTGGGTACACTGCTTATGGGGCTTGTTAAGAAATTCAGTGCATTAAATGAGCACTCCTGGGTAGTGAGGAGCTCCAGCAGTGCTGAGCACGCAGAGCCCTCCCCAGCGAGCTGGTGCTAATGAAGTGAAGCCATTAGAGCCCCCAAGTGACCAGCAGCACAGCTGGGTGACGTGGCTAACTGCTCCCTGCTGCACTGCCTGCCTGCCAAGGTCTCTCACAAGTCTGTGGAGCTCAGCAGACTCTCAAGTGATGCTTTTTAAATCCTGAAGAGGCTGTCTGACAAACAAAACAAAAATACCCCCAGACAGGAGGCTGTGCTTCACACCAAGGGGAAAATGGAGCCCAAGGGGCTGCCCAGCAATTCTGCCTCACTCCTCTCCCAAAGGTTTGCCAGCTCATCCTGCTCCAGCCCCAGCTGCCAGGAATTCACCCCAGGGACATCTGTGTCTCTCACAGGGGTGCTCAGGCAGCCCCTGTGGCATTGCCCTGCCCTGGAGCTGGGTGGCAGAGCAGCCATCCCATCCCATCCCATCCCATCCCATCCCATCCCATCCCATCCCATCCCATCCCATCCCATCCCATGGATGTGTGTGAGCAGCTCACACCCCTCTGGAGGGCCCAAGAACCTTCCCAGAGAAGGATTTCAGCACGGAGTGAATACATATTAATGTGGCCCCATAAAATCCTCCATCAAACCTTATTAAAGGATAATTCACTCCTGTCACTGGGAGCAGCCGGGCTCTGCCTGGAGGGAGCAGCTGACCCAAAATCAGCTTCTGCCAGGGCTGTGGTGCAAAGCCTGCCCTGCTGTTGGATTATACTCCTTTCTGACCCACAGATGGGGCAACTGAGAGGCATTTAAAAACTTCTATTTTTATTCTCATGAGAAAGGTGAGATTTCTTGTATTTTTATGTTGAAATTTCCAATCCAGCATTTTGAGCTCCATTGATGATGCTGTCATGGTCTCAGGTGTGATCCAACACCCTGGTGCTCCACGGACCAGGCATTCCTGGGGGATTCCTTCTACACCAGCAAAAATTGGGGCATGTGGGGAGCACCAGCTGCCAGCTGGGATAGCCAGGACAGCCCAGGATGTGTCTCAGCACTGCCAGGATAACCCTGGGATAACAATTCCTTGGAATGGCTGCAGTGAAACAGCAATCAGGCTGGATAATAATTGATATAGACTTGGGAAGGATGAAAGTTTGACAAGAAAGTCTCACAGGTATGTGTGCTTAGCAGAAAAATTATTGAATGTAGAGTCTGAAGAACGACTAGAGATGGAAGCAAGTTTTTGATATAGAAGAGTTGCTGAGCCAGTCTTACTGGATAAGCAAGGAGGCAAAGGGTGTGTTAGTTAGAAGGGTTTTTATGGCTTAGAGCAAAGGATAAACCCACCTCAAACAAGATGTTTTCACCAAGCAGAAAGACAGTACAGGCAAACAAGTCAGTAAATGTGGCAAGTAGAAAAAAGAATTTTCTACTGCAAGAAAACTGAAAAACAACTTCTACCTTAAACTGTAATGTACTGACTTATAGTGATTGGAGAATTGTAACAAGAATATGGTAATTACAGTAGTTATGATAGGCTATAGATAATAGTTATGGTATAGATTGGTTCTGCTGTATTAAGATGCTCAGCAAAGGAAAGGTAATAATGCATTGTAACCAAAACCAAAGGGTCTCCAGGCCTGCCTGCAGCTGGAGCTGACAGCTGTGGGCACAGGTTTGTGACCCACGACCCTGGACTGCTCTTGGATACAATAAACTGTATTTTGGATACAATAAACTGCATTTTGGAGAGCCCCTGGAGTCCCACATCTCTCATTTTGGCTCTTACAATAGACTCCATGTATTACAGAAGGCTGATCAAGAATGATAACCTTTATTAAGAAACCCATACTTTTATACCTTAGTTTCCTACAGGTAGACCTAACTGATCCTCCAATCCAAACCCCATCACCACTGGCTAAGTAAGAAACCACCCTTTGGTAAGCAAATCTCCATATCACATTCCAGATGTGCACAACACCAGGTGCAGCAGGTTAAGGTAAGAATTGCTTCTCATTCTTTTCTCTGATCTTCTCACAGACTTCTCTGGCACCGTTCTGGGAATGTTTTCTGTTTGTCTCTGTGGCCAGAGAGCTGCAGAGGGGCTGTCTCTGCCAGCTGTGCTGGGCAGCACCAGATTCCTGCTGAGCACAGGGACAGAGCAGGAGCACAGAGACCACAGAGATGTTCCTGCAGCACAGATTCACAAATCCCAACATCCACTGCCAAACCCGTGAGGATGGAGCCACCCAGAGGTCCCTCTCCTGCCCTGCCACAGCAGCTCTCCCTCTCTGCAGCCAAATTTCACCAGCCAGGTTGGATCTGCAGCCCCTGA